TCTGTGGGCGGAAATGCCTTGTTGATGCCAGAGGTCAGAGGAGAATGGCCAGACTGGTTCGAGCTGATAGAAAGGCAACAGTGACTCAAATAACCACCCGTTACAACCAAGGTAGGCAGAAGAGCATCTCTGAACGCACAGTACGTCGAACTTTGAGGCAGATGGGCTACAGCAGCAGAAGACCACGCCGGGTGCCACTCCGTTCAGCTAAGAACAGGAAACTGAGGCTACAATTTGCACAAGCTCATCGAAATTGGACAATAGAAGATTGGAAAGACGTTGCCTGGTCTGATGAGTCTCAATTTCTGCTGCGACATTTGGATGGTAGGATCAGAATTTGGTGTCAACAACATGAAAGCCTTGTATCAACGGTTCAGGCTGGTGGTGGTGGTGTAATGGTGTGGGGAATATTTTCTTGGCACTCTTTGGGCCCCTTGGTACCAATTGAGCATCGTTGCAACGCCACAGGCTACCTGGGTATTGTTGCTGAATCTATCCATCCCTTTATGACCACAATGTACCCAACTTCTGATGGCTACTTTCAGCAGGATAATGCGCCATGTCATAAAGCTGGAATCATCTCAGACTGGTTTCTTGAACATGACAATGAGTTCACTGTACTCAAATGGCCTCCACAGTCACCAGATCTCAATCCAATAGAGCATATTTGGGATGTGGTGGAACGGGAGATTCTCATTATGGATGTGCAGCCGACAAATCTGCGCCAACTGTGTGATGCCATCATGTCAATATGGACCAAACTCTCTGAGGAATGCTTCCAGCACCTTGTTGAATCTATGCCATTTTTTTGTCTTTTGATCTGCCTCAATAATGTCATGAATTAGAAATGAAAATAGGGGTTTTCTCAGCACTTTTTCGATGAGATTAAAATATAGATTAATTAGATCAATTGATTAGATCAATTAATTACAGATAATAAATCTCACAATTTAATCGCTTAACAGCACTAATATATATATATATATACACATACATACACAGACGCTCCCCAGCTTACGGACGAGATACGTTCCAAAGGATCGTTCGTTAGCTGAATTCGTAAGTTGCTTCAGTAAATTGAACTGGAGAACTAAAACTTTAGATTTAATCGTGACTGTTCCGCTCAATGAAGCTCTGCCTCCGCTGACCACGCATCCTGGTCAGCGTTTCAGCAAATAGCTGAATAGCCTCGAGATGCCACAAGATGGCAGCAAAATAAATACAGACGCTCCCCAGCTAACGTACGAGATACGTTCCGAAGGATCGTTCGTTGGCTGAATTCGTTCGTGAGTTGCTTCAGTACTATATTTTGTATGGAATGTATGTTTAAGGCGTATATAAGTATGTTTAAGGTTTATATAAGTATAATAAAATGAAGTTTAACTTACTTTTGGAAGATGTACTCGAAGGCTTAAGGACTAACGACGATTGCACAGTTTTCTTCTTTTTCTCATCATAAATGATGCAGTAGCACTGTATGGCATCATTCATTTGATTTGCAACCTTTGTGCAACGTTCAATATTTGGGTCTTGCTGCTCGAAGAGTGCGATGGCTTTATCTATGAGCGAAAACCCCTCGGCCAAGAGTTCCGTCTCGAATTTCTTCATGGGGACAGGCGTTTCCTCTTCCTCCACCTCCTCTCCCAGCGCCTCACGTCGGTATTAGCGGCTGAAAGAAGCACTACAGTACTCGGAAAAAGGCGCGCAATACAAAATCTAACTTACAGCATCTCTGTCCGAGAACATTTTTCGACATACCTGTACCCGCAAAAATGTTCGTATGTACCGTTGTTCGTCACTCGAATGTTCGTAAATCGGGGAGCGTCTGTATATATATATATATACATACATACATACATACATACACACACACACACACACACACACACACAAAATTTACATTAATGTATATATATTTCTATGTACGCTCTTTTTATTTTCTTAATGCTTTGCCAAGGTTTTGGATTGGGACTCGAACCAAAGACATGGACTATTGCTAATTATTCATGACCGCAAATAATTGGAATCGCTGCTCTGGTAGTGAGACGTCATGGACTGTCTAAAAAAAAAAATCCATGACATTGCTAGGTTCTGCGGTTTTCACACCATTCTGAATGTGGCTTTCTGTTCTGAAGTGGATCTCGCCACCAGTCAACTATGGGTGTGCACAACAAGAGTGTGGAGCTCTGTTGGCTGGCCATGTTGAGGAATGGGTACTTTGCAACCTCTGAGTGATGTAATCGTGTCATGATCTCTGAATGGGTGCCATTGTACTACTGCTGCTCGGCCCCGGGCTCTCAACCACACACCACAAAGAGCCATGTGTCGGCAGCGATGCTAAAAAAAATGTCATTTACAGACCTCGCTCAGGGTTTCCAAAAGCATCACTGCTTTGCTGAATGTGTGAATGGCTTTCAGGCCCAAGTCACATAATCTTCAAATTCATCAAAATGGAAACAAGTTGAGATTTTTTTTCATTATGGCAATGATTATGTACCAGTTTTGTTTCAAGATGTTCCACTAGTAGATCCGCAACATGACTTTCCTTTTGCCTCACTCTGAACTCTCTCTGAACCCAGAAACACACTAAGCATACAGTACATGCCCTGTTTAAATCGAGTTTACCGCAAACTGAACTGACATAATTCCAGAGGAGATTCACATGAGCTAGGCACCAAAAATGTCGTCGTCATAATTGAAAGAGCTGGATTAGTTTTGTAGTTGAATACCTTGAGAAAAATGGTAACAGACACAGACAAACTTGATTGATTTGAGGAAAATAAGAAAATCTCCTATTGCAGGGGAACATGATGCTCCGAGCAAACGCTGAAAAATATTTACCTGAAAATTGAAATCTAATTATCTTAAGAATGCATAACATTATATAAAAAAAAAAAAATCATCCATCCATTCTCTGAACTGCACAAATCCTTGCAAGGGTCGCGGGCATGCCGAAGTTTGTCACAGCTGTCACTGGGCGCGAGGCGGTGTACACCATGAACTGGGCGCCAGCCAATCACATAAGCACGGAAATTGACAATTTACAATTCTTATCGTAAAGTCAACGGTCATGGACAATAAACATTTTAAATCAGATAGCCAGGGGTTGAATTGATATCGACAATGATTGGGATGAAAATCAGCATCCTCGAAATTCCTACCCACAACTATGGTCGCGAGCTGTGGGTCGTGACTGTAAGAACAACATGATCAGGGACACAAGTGGCCGAAATAAGTTTCCTCCACAGGGTGTCCAGCCCTCCTTTCAAGAGTGAGTGAGACGCTCCGTCATGCGGGAGGGCCTCAGGGTCGAGCTACTGCTCTTCCCCATTGAGAGAACCAGATAACCAGGTCCGGCATTTAGTTTGGATGCCTCTTGGATGACTCCCTGGCAATGTTCCCTCTAATTTTCCATGCTTTCCATGGTTGTTCGTCTCTGTGTGCCCTGCGATTGGCTGGCAACCGATTCAGGGTGTCCCCCGCCTACTGCCCGAAGACAGCTGGGATGGGCTCTATATATATATATATAAACTGTCTTTTAAAAGTGAATTCAACAAAATGTCAGCCTTTTAAATAATTTTGTGATAATACTCACCATTAATGTGAATGGTTTTCCATTCCTCATGATTGCTAAAAATCCAGCAAAACAAGCGGAATTATAGTCAGCTTGCCGGGTCCATACGTGGAGTTGCTGCTGGCAAGCTTGCCCCATGCTCACTAGCTTGCACGCTGCCCTTGCGCTGTCTCTTGCAGGGTTTTTTTATGCGAACGTAGCAACGTAGCATGGCGCATGTCAAAGTGCCGCTTTACATTCGACCATTTCATCGATGGTATTTTGTCATTGCAAATCAGATACACCGCAGAACCTGTTCTCTCCACAAAGGCGAATCCATCAAGCCATTCGTCCTGAAGTCTACCATACTCGTCATCTTTTTTTCTTTTCACCATTTTATTCGTTTAGGATTAACTTTGAGCTTATGACCGAGCGGGCTGATTCAAAAGGGGGCGGTTACATGTTTCCGCAGCAACGGCAACATAGGCCAGTATTATCCAATCAAAATTGCTCCTGGAGCCAACTGCAGCCCCGAAAAGGAAATGAGCAGTAAGACATTGATGGATGGATTAAACAAGTGAGAATATTTTGTTTTATCTGCGAGCCAGATGCAATCATCAAAGAGCCATATATGTCTCGCGAGCCATAGGTACCCGACCCGTGTTAAGGGGGATGCTGTGTTTGTGTGAAGGTTTACCTTGTGCAGGTTCCCTTTAGAGTCTCCCAAGAATGCAATCGTATGTGCCGCCCTCATGCTCACTGCTACAGCTGTCAGTCGAGCGGAGGGGCTATCCAAAATGGTTTCAGCTTCCACAGCAATCCGACTACCCATGGGACTGGGTGTGTGATCAGAGCCGCAAGGGTACCTTTCGAGCGTGTTCTAAACGAGAGAATATCAACAGTCACTCAGGGGTTATATGAAATAATGTCTCACAGAACATGTACAGTTGCAAGAAAAAGTAAATGAACCGTTTGGAAACACTTGGATTTCTGCATAATATTGGTCCTAAAATAAGATGTGATTTATGTCTAAATCACAACAGTCGCTTCTACCAATATCACACAAGTTTTTATGTATTTAGAGGACACACAATGCAGGGAGGGAATAATGTGAACCCCTCGTATATCGACTTCTTTGAGAGCTAATCAAATTCAGCAGTCAGCAAAACTAAGTCCAATCCAATACAGATTGGTGTTCGCTCTTCTGTAATAGGTCTGATGTGAACCAGGCAAGGCACAAAAAAACTCGTAATATACCAAAATGTCAACAGCATGATGAACAGGTCTGTCTATAGTAATTTTAAAATTAACCAGAACCAGAATCATCTTTATTGGTATGTCAGAAACACACAATTAAATTGAGCCACTCACAGTGTTACAGCAACAATCAATTATAAGTACAGAGCGTTGTTAAGCAATGGCATGTACCATTAGTGCGGTAGTAGCGAACACTGACAGCTGTGCAAAAGAGGCGCAGAGTCGTCAAGCGATATAGAGTGATCAGTATTACAGTAGGTAAATATGATCCAATGACAGTCGTGCAGATGATGAAGAGAACTGTCACACAATTTAAAGTAACCTGTCGTGCACTAATTCTGACACAGCACATTAGAGGAATCTATGAACAGAATGATATCATGTTTAAAGTTCCATTTAATTTGGGCCTGTCTAGACGTGTTGTGCATTTAGCGCCCCCAAATATCTGCTCTTTGAATCCACAGTAATCACATTACCGCAAGAGTACGAACAGATAGAAGGAGGCTAGACTCAACAGTTTAGGAACGAAGTGTTTTAGAACATCAAAGGACGGTCTGGGAACTGGTCGCGGCCCATGCGACCATTTGTCATCTGCGAAGTCTGTGACTTGTTTATTCGTGGGAGACGTAGTATCTGTGGTTCAAAGCTTGACAAAAGCTAATCACATCGCTGACCGAGGGGCCGGACTGGGGGCGTGGTATGCAAATGTCGGGGGCAGTGTCTTTCTTGTATTTTGCGTATGTAAAAAATAAAAGACCGATGAGGAGCACGATGTACTTTGAATGTGATCGCGGAGCAAATGCCTGCCGTTCGCTCTGAGAGGTCCACTCCCGTCGGACTGCACCAACAACCTTCCCTGAGTCAAGTTCTTCTGTTTAAACTTGTCCAGGTATACTGTATCTCTGACACAGCAACAATTTCGCAAATATGCAGACAGCACTTTAAGCGTCCAATAAAATGGAATATTCATCAACCAAAGTTATGCAAATAATGCGGAGCGATACTGTCACAACGGCGATGTGGAAAAATATGCAAACATTTTGTAAAAATGCAACCATGGAATCATGCGTCAACTGGTTGAATGGCAAGATGGAAGTTGTATTGGAATGTTGTTTTAGAACTGCATAGTTCCATAGCGACTATCTGAGAAAGAGAGCCGGAAGAGGTGATAACCAGGAGAATTTTGCCAGCCCTTGCCTTAGTTCTTACAGCGTGCATGTCCTCAAGAGTGGGGAGTGAGTACTGATGATCTCCTTGGCATTCATAACATAAATGTCTGATGCAGTTGGATTTTGTCCTTCATTGTGGCAGCACCAAACTAGATTGTGATAGATGAACACGTGTCTCAGTGACTACTGTATTAAATTGTCTCAACAGCACCGATTGTGGGTTGTACATGCTCGGCAGCCGCAAGAAGTACATCCTCTGCTGGGCGTTTTTCAGGATGGTGTTGATGTTAGCCTCAACTGAGGTCCTGAAAGAAGGTAATTTCGAGGAACTTGAAGGTATCAACATTTGACACAGGGCGGGTCTCTCTCTCTCGCGTATGAGGGCAGCTTTACGATGTTAAATGTCCAGACGTTGCAGCCATTGGACAGTGGATTCATTAGGTGCTGTGAGGTTCAAGTTGCCCTCTGGTGGTCGATGAATGGGACAATAGTAGATGAGATGTTCTGCAGTTTTGGGTTCTGGTCCAAAGTCGCAGAATGGTGATTCGACGAGTCCCCATCGGAACATATCGTTGAAACGGCCTACCCCAGTTCTTAGGCGGTTGAGACACAGGGCGGGTGTGGCAAAGTACGTCCACAATCATCTCCACCGTCTTTGCGGTGTTCAGCTCCAGAGTAGCAGCCACTTCACTTCCTGTAGATATGCAGACTTGTCACCGTCATCGATGAGGCGGATGACTCGGATGTTGTCTCCAAATTTCAGGAGTTTGACATCTGGATGAATTGAGGAGGAGATAAATACTTAGGGGACTGAGTGTGTCTGATGTTGCTTGTGGATGATCGTGTCACCCATTATGAAGCTGAAAATCAGACATGTCAGACTCTTGGCCCATGGGGCCACTTCCTGCCCACGCAGCAATTTTCTCCAAAATCAGCATGGACTCAGCCCAACGGGCATCAGCACATTAAGTGGTGATTTTTAATTGGTAACTGCAACCTCAGATTCTCCAATGGTACATAGTGAAGCTCCGATGACATAAAATGACTAATCCTGTCAAAAAGGCCAGAAAGTGATCTATTCTGAAGAGAAATATGTCAGTCTTTATTATTTTTAAGTGTCTTAACCATTGACTCGTGTATATGCATTGGACAGGAGGGAAGTTTAGTACATGTGATTTCTGCATGTGCAGTGATATGTGTGCCTCACTACTTTGAGTTTGTTCAGCTGTGTGCATCAATGTCCAGTAAGTAGTGTCACTCTGACTCATGTGAATGCAAACAGATTGTTAGGATGAGTGACAGTCTGGTTTCAAAACAATATTTTGTTACCAGTGTTCTGTGATGTTCTGTAACGTACCCGTTGCCACTCATTAACGTTACTGTCGGTTCACTGAGTAGCGCATGTGTAAAGTGTCTTTGCAGCTTTTCATTGCTTTACAACCTGCATTGTGTCGTAATTGACTGCCTGTATTTTTTTACTGTGTAATTGTGCAAGCTGTTTTTTTACACTGCAGGGGTGTCAAACTCATTTTTGTCATGGCCATATTTTAGGTTCCACTTCCCTCAGAGGGCCGTTATGACTGAAACCATATGAAGAAGTCAAGAATAATGGTTCACTCAACTTTTGTTTAAGTTACTGTCATGATGGGTTTGGTAACAAGAAAATGCTTACAATATCGTGCTTAGTTATTACAGGTGAGAATTTTGGTACAGATTTTAGCTAGCATCATGGAAGTTGACATGTTTGATTTGCTTTTGCGGGCCACAGACAATGAGTTGGTGGGCCAGATCTGGCCCCGGGGCCTTGAGTTTGACACCTGTGTTTTACAGCATAGAATTCTGCATCCTGATTGACTAAGGTACCATGTGCCAATTTGAATCCATCTCCTCCATTCCATGTCTCCTGTACAAAATAATAATAATAATAATAATGAACAGCTACACCATTTATTTTGTTTATCTTGCAAAGATTTTAACTTTAAGCATGTTTAAATACAATACATCCTGATTTATATCGCGCTTTCACAACAGCTGCAGCTGGAACAAAGCACTTTACAAAACAGTTAACATAAAGAAAATAACAAACACAACACATAACATAAATAAAAGAGAAATGTGAGAAAATGTTCATGGTGAGGTTTGCAGGCTTCAAATATATAGTATAATTGTTAAAAAAAAAAAAAAAAAAAAAAAAAAAGAAATCCTTCATTCTGGATTCCACCTACCTCGGGTTATTTTTGGAACATAAAGAGCGCGATAAACGAGGCACCACCGAACAGGTGGTAAAGGCAAACATCGGTCAAAGTGCTTTTGTACTACTCTTCCAGGTGAACAAAATCCACATCACATTATTCAGTATTAGTAGCTACGCAAAAATGGCCGAGAGAAAAGTCCATGCTGATAACAGAGCCTTTCAAAACCGGTGGGAAACTGGGTACATGTTGACTTTAATTACAGTTAGCTAATTTACTGGACTGTTCCAATATTATATCCCATCTGTTTGAAAACATATTCATGTTCACAAAAAGGTTGTTTTTTCAATAAATGTTTATCCTCTGGCCCGCAACCTCAAGTGTACTTTGAGCTTTGAGGTTGACATCCCTCTCATAGCTCCACTGGCAGGATCCTCATGTAGGTCCCTGCTTCGTCTGGCTTTTCCAGGATGAAGTGCAGCACCACGTTGACTGCATCATCCACCAAACTTTTTGCTCGGATTGCAAATGGCAAGGGGTACAGCAGGGGTCCAATGACGCTCTTTAGGTGGTCCACCACGAGGTGTTAAAAGCACTTCATGACCACAGAAGTCAGAGCGACAGGGCTGTAGTCGTTCAGTCCCGATATTGAGTGTTTCTTGGGAATTGGGATAACGGAGGAGCGTTTGCATCTGCTGCAAGGACCTCTTAAAGATCTGCATGAAGATTGGAGCGAGCTGCTCAGCACAGACTTTCCGCCAGGGAGACACGCCAGCCGGCACTGATGCATTCTTGATTTTTGTTGATTTAAGAACCATCTAATGACAGGAAAACTAAGAAATGTATTGGTAGCTTCATTGATCAAACACTTTTTGGAAGCATTTGCTGTTGAACTACTAATTAGACCCATCAAGTCATCAAATAAAGTACTGCACTAAAACATTGAACCGTTAGTTACATCTGATCAAGAGTTCAGAGATAAAAGTGATAGTGAATTTTAGGTTCATCCTGAAACTTGACCCGAAAAAGCTGAAACTCCTCAACTTTTTGTAGTTTATATGTGCTCCAAAAAATGCGTAAGGTTTAGACGTGCAAAAAATTATTTTCTTTTTTTTTTCCCCCGACACGGTGTTGTTACCTGTCCACTGGTGAGCATTACAATCGGACTACAGGCAATTATTTCTCTGTTTTTACTCGAGTCAACCTATCTGCTTAATGCTGCTTATTCTTTATAACCTTTGTAACTGCAGTGACAATCTCCTTGATTGACTGTGATTTTAACCAATGTTTCACTGATGCTTGAAGAAAAATGGATTCATAACATTTTAGCGTTATGAATGTTTTATCCCAACACAAATGTAGAACGGATGCTAAAGCGAGTTCTATCAATAATTCAAGTGCAATTTAAGAATTTCAGTTCTCTTGGGTCTTTAGTGGGGATTGATTCCGTCACTTGTGAAGAAGACTGATTGAGCCTATTTTATTTATTATATGGGGGAACATTGTTGGGAGAAACTATGAAAGCACATGCAGTAAAGACTGCATTTGAAGAATGGCAGCTTCAAGCATATCATGAATATTTATTACTATGAATACATGATTTTCAGTCTGGCTGAAAGCATAAATTCTGGTTTAGTGTGATTCAGTGTCTCATCTGATGGCAGATTAGACGGCCGTGGCACATGCTGACAACTGTCATGCAAGCTTCAATCGCATGTGCATTCTGGCAATAATACCACTTCTAACCACAAGAGATGGGACTTATGAGGAGGCACTTTGGCCATGTTTAATGTCAGTTCAAACGCCTGATCTTCAAAAACAAAGCATGTTCCAAAAGGTTTAGTCAAGGGATCAACTCTCACGCAAGAAACTGTCTTTGCGTAAACTGCCCAGGGACGAGGGCACTATTAAATTAGAATTTAATCACTCCAGAAATTTGTGTTCCAACTCAACTATATCTGTCTCAGCACCTTAACACAGACTTTTTTTTCTAAACACACTATTCATCCACTCTGTACTTGATCTATTCCCAATTGTCATATGGCTTTCTGTTTAAACAGTAAACAGAGGGTCTCCTTAAGGTACGACAACGTTCTGCTCCTTTGGCACTGCAGCACAAATTTCGCAGTTGTAAGTTGGCACCCACTGTAGTCTGTCTACACTAACACAGTCATGACCACGATAAATATTAGTATGAAAAACAGTTCGAGCATAGTCGACAAATAAAATCGCCACATGCTTTTCACAACCTTGACATGTCTTGTCGAGCCGTTGTAAACCAAGGACCTCCTGTCATAGAGACGTAATAATACAGGAGAATAATGTTGTGTTTCATACTGAGAAAAAAAAAAACACCAGACAGAGTACACTACTGAAATACTGTAGCAGTTCTTACTTGATAATATGTGCCTCCTATGCCTTAGCGTCACTGTTGCTGATTATCATTCTTACAAGCCGTTGTGTGTCTGGTTTGGATTTATCTGTCCTTGTCTAGTCTTGTTTGACATTGCTCCCAACGTCAGTTACAACGCTCAGATTGATTCATCATTTTTATTCAATTAGACTGACATCTTCCCTCCAGCATTTTTGTAAGGGGCTGCTGGCCAGTGCTGATCTACGTCATTAATGTGAGAACAGAGGAACGGCGTAAGGTGTGCAATTCAGACAAAGATGCTCATCCAGCATGAAGTAGTAATTTCATCGCAGCAGTGAAAAGGTAAATCGAATTCAGACGCCCCTCAGTAGTTGCTTGGGACACTTAGTAGCAAGTGCAATTGATGATTCACAAACAAAAAGAGTCCACAGTTAACTTGACCCAACTTTTGCAACTTCATGAGCTCATGTTTCATTGTGTTTACCAGAGATCGCGCTCCATGAAAATTAAGGACAGCACTTTTGGATTAAACTTCATGGGGAAAGGTCACAGTTTAAGGTTTTACTACATTTGCCCCCTGCCACGAGCCTTCTGCAACTGGCGTTTCTACACGTTTGTCCCTTGCATGTAACAAAGTAAAAGGTACTAAAATATTAGCGCACCCCACAGTATGGTGCAGTGCAGTTGCACAACATTTAATATAAGTACATCCATCTATCCTTCCATTTTATGATCCGCTTTATCTGCACAAGGGTCGCGGGGGTGCCGGAGCCGATCCCAGCTGTCTTGGGGCAGTAGGCGGGGGACACCCTGAACTGGTTGCAGGGCACATAGAGACGAACAACCAGCCGCGCTCACACTCACACCTAGGGACAATTTAGAGTGGTCCATCAGCCTGCCATGCAAGTTTTTTGGAATGTGGGAGGAAACCAGAGTACCCGGAGAAAACCCATGCAGGCACGGGAAGACATTCTCCACAAAGGAAGGTCGGAGCTGGTATCGAACCCATGACCTCTGCATTGTGAGGTCGACGCGCTAACCGCTCCATCACCGGGCCCCTTAAAACAAGTACAATCGCATTAAATGAAACACCTGTCATTGAAAACATTATAAATATTTTTGACACTAACGCTTTGCATGCAACATATAATGAATAATACAGTATTAACATGCAGGAAGGAAGGAGCTCATTATGCTCGGACAATGTTGGCTGCAGTGTTTATGTTGGTAGGGGATCATTAAATCTGGTATAATGCACCTCGAACTTGGGATGGTAATTAAAAACTGGTTCACTTTGAGAAGTGGGTCCCAAAGAGTGGTGATGTTTGTAGAATACTGTAACTATTTTGGAGTGCAATATAGCAATGTAGTGTGGCTAACTCCGAGAACCAATGTGATTTGCAAGACACATCGATTATCCACAATTCCCTAAGTAGTGATGAGGGAAATCTACAATTTAAAATAATACAATATGAATTATAAAAGTGAAGAGGATTATACCATACGGCAGACATTCTTATGTTGTACTATAGATAGATAGATGCACACACACACACACACACACACACACACACACACACACATTTATAAGAAGAAGAAGAAGAAAAAAAAAGAAGAATAATGGCAGATTACATCTCAGCAATCGAGAGCATGATGACACAATGCTTTTTAAATGTATTTTTTGTTTGGTTAACTCACCTCTAGCAGGTTGACACATTTGGATTTGACTTCGTATTCAATGTAGGCTGCCTCCATTCCAGACTCTCTGCCCATCTTTGTGTAACACAGGTCTCTGGTGGAGTTAATCCTGCGGTCCACATCTTCCAGGTTAAACATGCACAGGGCAGAGTCTTCACTGGGTCGATTTGATGAAGCCAGCCGAGTGGAAAAAACACCAAGAACAATCTCAGACCCTTGACTCACAGTGACATCTTTGGAGAATGCCAGCTGGACCGCTTGAAGGAGATTGTAATTTTTTCCTGCCCGGGAACGACACGTCAAGGGCACCTCCACATACGAATAATAGGCTTGATCGTCCAAACAAACACGAGAGATGTAGGTGCGGTATTCGCGTGATTTTGACTTAAGGTCTCGCCTGTAGAAGAGGAAGTACACATGATGATGGTGGGCGAAGGATGAGACAAAATGATGGTCATATTCAGAGAGGCGACCAGCCACAGCCAACTTTGCAGTTTCCTCATAAGAAAATATGGGTTCCTGGTCCAGGTTTCGTGTGGCGATGGGCGGGTGGCTGCTTGTGTAGCCTCGCCCTACAAAAAGAACCGGCTGCCTGTGCGGATGAGATTGAACGATGAGGCCAACAGTACTAACGTTGGGGTGATTAGCCGCCACGTATTGGGTATCCACTGGCGTCTCAGTGGAGAACAGCACCTTGTCGACAGAATCAAGACTTCGTTTTTGGCAGATACCTTGGTTGACACTGCCACAAGTAATGAGTTCCATTGAGTATGGGTTAATCAGCAAGAGCTTGTTGTGGTTGCTGGTGAGCCTTGCTTGAGGGCAGTTACTCTCTGTGACAGGAGGCAAGCACTCTCTGCTGTCTTTGACTGGTCCAGTGTGATCCTGGAGTTCGAGCTGCAGAAACTTGTCCAACTGAAACAAGTTGTCACGAGCTCCGACGTAAACTCGACCCACATTGGGGTGAGGATGCAAGGCCAAGTGCTCAAATTCGGTGTCGTTCCAAATAAAGGTGGGATAAAAGATAGATAGTGAGTCGGTTCCTTGTACAACAAAAGCAGGCTTAGAGTTAAGGCCCCAGCCAGTCGCTAATAGCACAAGAAAGAGCAGTGGTCGCACTGCTTTCACTGGAAGACGACATATCACCCACGGTGGCATGGCAGCAGATCTAATTGAAAGAAAAAAAAAGAAAGAGCAAACTTTTAACAGACTGTAACTTACATCCAATTAAAAAAAAAAAAGATAATTGTAGCTGGCATCAGTCTTTAGGTTTCCTCTGCAACTTGGATCAAACAAGAACTTACTTTTCCTATAGGTGGATTCACTTGTAGAGCAAGGGAAATAATACAGCCTCTTGAAACATGAGCGAGTGGCCTGGAGGAACTGTACAAACCAAACCCATACGCAACACTATACCGTATGCTCACTTAATATCTAGAATTTATAACACTGACTTGCACCCTTTCATTTTGGTGTTCTTTCTGCAGTTTGTTTTTGTATGAATAATGAGTGGGGAAAATCCCCTCCCGTAAAAAAAAAAAAAACCCTTATAATGTTTTCATGTCACCCTCAAGAAAAACACAGTGATAAACATTTTGACAACTCACCATTTGCTTTCTTTGTTGTTACAGGGGCATTCGATTTCTTAACCTTCCAGCAGTTGTTGCGGACATAATCTGAAACACACAGATAAAGACAACCTTGATAAAAGTTCTTTTTTGATGAAAGGTGACTTCCAGTCTGAGTTCTGGCAGAAAAAGCCATGCTATTGTCATGATTCGGTTTGGGACCAACAGGTGGCACTGTAGGGCTCTCCCTGCAGCTGCACACCTGTTGGTCATTAGGTAATTAGTGGCTTCAAAAGGACTCCCAGCCCGAGCAATCTTTGTCGGGTCATTGTTGCTTTGTGCTACTATCAAGTTTCATTGTTGCTTTGTGCTGCTGTCATGTTTGTTTCAGTCAGGTTTTGGTCATTATGTTTTATCTTCGGTTATGTGTTTTGTTTGATACTTTGTTTGTTTTGGATTTAGTTTTCTGAGTTTTAATACAATCTTTCAAGTACACCCTGCTCCTCCCTCCTGCCTGCTTTTTGGGGTCCACCACCTCGCTACGTGACAGCTATTAAGTTTGGACTCATTCACTGAAATACTTTTTAAATCATTGCAGACCACATGAGGCCATGGGAATCGTATTCCAATTTAAATTCCTTCACAAACTTACTACATCCTTTTTTGCATGTAAAGAAAGCCCCCAATAAGTAGTGTCAATCCAAACGGGCTTTAAGTACCCTCCAGTGAGTTGGTCCCAGGAAAAGATCGTCACTCATTGCTAGGATACAATATACAAAAGGTCTTTAGTTTCAGAGTCCAAGGCCCCCCTAACGCCCAAAAAAAGAATTTGACTCCTTAGAGTTGGGTATATTCAGTTTGTGATCAATGTTTTTTTACTTTATCAGGACCTCAAAGAAACATAAAAAAAACAAAAAAACAAAAACGCGATCATTTACAAATTCAGAAACATTTTCTGTTGCTTCATCACCTGTCAAACTCAAGGCCCGACGGCCACATCTGGCCCACCACATCATTTGATGTGGCTCGTGAAAGCAAATTATGTGCATTGTCCTGCTTACCAATACGTCACACATTTTCAATGTAGGCAGGTCTGGACTGCAGGCAGGCCAGTGAAATACCCTCACTTTGTTACTAGAAAGTGTTGTCGCACGTGCAAACTGTGGGTTGGCTTTGTCTTGCTGAAATAAGATGGGGCATCCATGAATAAGACGTTGCTTGGATGGCAACATATCTTTCTCCAAAACCTGTATGTACCTTTCAGCATTAGAGGTGCCTTCACAGATAAATTACCCATTGCATTAACACAGCCCCATACCATCACAGAAGGTGGCTTTTGAACTTTGCGTTCATAACATGGTTCTTTTCCTCTTCGGCCCGGAAGACACGACATCCACCATTTCCGAACTGTATTTACTGATAATGGTTTTCTGAAGTGTTCCTGAGCCAATGTGGTGATATCTTTTATACAGGTGTATGGGCTGTCTCAGCGAATCTTCAGCTTCTTGATCGCGGTATACACCTTCAGACGCACACTTCCCACAGTCATTCCGCCAACCTAGATTTCAAAGTTTCCAAATGATTTATTGTGCCCTAATTCTAGAAATCCAAATCAGGATGCACAATTCCAAACAATATTCTTATGGACAACAATCTACAATAAACCAAATGTATGCGGGGAAAAGTCTGCGGTCAAAAAACTATATGATCACTCTGTCTGTCAAACAAAACTCTTCCTGGTACCCCGCCCGCATACGCCCGCATACACATGCCTGAACAATTACCTGATCAGTGACCTGATTCACAGCACAGGCCTACCATACCATCAGCATCACGTAGGAGGCATGGTCATTCCAATACCCGTAATACGCAATAACTTTCAACCTGACAATATGCAATAACAATAATAATAATAATAATTGAAACATAAATATCATTGGATGATTATCAACAGAAATCTAACATAAGGCAATATAAGATAAGATAACCTTTATTTGTCCCACACTGGGGAAATTTGCAGTCTACAATAGGAAAATGGGGAGGGGGTGGGGGGGAGAAAAGAAAAAAAAAGTGCTGCATGCACAAAATAAATCTTTCAGAAAAAGAACTGTACACAGTATACAATGCAATATAAATATAAGTTGCATATATGCATCTTATGCATACATGAGGTGGCTGTGCTATTTACAATGGTTACAGGTTTTCACGCATGTTTATTCAGCAGTTTGACAGCAGTCGGTAGGATCGAGCGCCGTTATCGCTCCTTCTTGCAGCACGGGTGTAACAGAAAAAAATATGGCTTTTACAACAGGAGTGCCCAACGTTTTTTGCCCGAAGATCTACTTTTCAAGCAGCAAACCTCCCGCGATTCAACGCGTTACCGCACACATACATAGGCAAACACATGCGCATACGCACACAAACAATGAGCGAGGTATGCAAATCTTACTATCCATTTTACATGATCTTTTTACATAACTTATACCACAATAATAAATAAGGCATATAATTAAAGTCGCTGCTTAAAATACTGTGAATGTCCAGTTGGAAAAACTTAGTGGTAACATTTTGCCATAATGCTATAATTACGGTGTCTATGAATAACCTTTGGATCCGGCTTCAAGGCTACAGTAGCTATATAACTCAATGCTTGTCATCAACTCTGTTCACCAAAGGACGCATGGCTATTTATATTTAGATGTGTCATTTTCATATCTATTAGCAGTTCAGTGGTTTAGATAGGCAAGAGGCAGATGACATCAGAAATACAAAGCAGCACACAAACCATTATGGACTATGTTGTTGGCTTTGAACATTTTTTTTCTGGTGGGCATGGCGCAGCAGTTGATGGACTGTGTTCCTCATAATCACTGCATTAATCTGGCCAGTGGCAAAGACCTGCTACAGAAAAAAAAATCCAGTTTCCACAGAGTGAGGGTTATAGAGTTGGTTCACTTGTAATGTAGAGGAACTGGATGGGTAAGAGGAAGTCACCATGGTTGTTAAAGTTTATGGGCCAAAGAAAAAACCCTGGCTACTGATCTTGGTCACGAGGGAGAACAGATATCTGGATCCCAGAAATTACTCAACTTTTAAGTGGAACTTTTTTTCCCCATCGTAGTCAATGAAATTTGATTCAACTGAAGTAATTACATGTTGCCATATGAGCGAGGTCGGAATAGATGTTGAAGGGGACAAATTACAGCAGGTAGCAAGTAATCAAATCAGACAAACAAAAACAAAGCCAGGTGAAACAATAAATAAAAAGCAATAAAAACCATAAAACACTAAAACTATTTCTCATGCTGAGTCAAAAGGCATAAAATAAAAATGTTAAAAAAATCTGATTATATGAACATAATTCTGTACATAAAAATTAGCTAATGTTTCATTTGGGGCGGCCCGGTGGTCGACCAGTTAGCACATCGGCCTCACAGTGCAGAGATCGATTGCAGCTGCGGCCTTCCTTGGAGTTTGCATGTTGTCCCTGGGCCTGCGTGGGTTTTCTCGGTTTCCTCCCACATTCCAAAAATATGCATGGCAGATTAATGGAACACTCTAAATTGTCCCTAGGTGTGATTGTGAGTGTGAATGGTTGTTCATTTATGTGTGCCCTGCGATTGTCTGGCAACCAGTTCAGGGTATGCCCCGCCCACTGCCCGAAGACAGCTGGGACGGGCTCCACGCCTGCGACCCTCATGAGGATAAGCGGATTAGAAAATGGATTGATGGACGTGTAATTTGGCAATATGTTTGTACCTGTAAAGTCAGAAAACAAAAACATGAAGCCATCATTATCTGTTTTTATTTTCATGAAGTGGACCCCGGCAATAAAATTTAGTGAAATCTGACTAATGACTTGACTTGCTTGAAATTTGGACAACTTAAACTTGCAGATACTAAAGTATGGTCACCAACATGGTGCCTGTGGACAGCATTTTGCTCCCAAGGACCATATGAGTGTCCTGTTCTAAAACTAGTTCAACAGTAATAGGACACTGATTTCTTGGGAATGTTGGGGAGCGACCATTTAAAAATAAGGTTGCATGGACTATACCGGTAGCGGCCCGGTATAGTCCAGTGGTTAGCACGTAGACTTCACAGTGCAGAGGTACCGGGTTCAATTCCAGCTCCGGCCTCCCTGTGTGGAGTTTGCATGTTCTCCCCGGGCCTGCGTGGGTTTTCTCCGGGTACTCCGGTTTCCTCCCAGATTCCAAAAACATGCATGGCAGGCTAATTGAACCTCGGTGTGAGTGTGAGCGCGAATGGTTGTTCGTCTCTGTGTGCCCTGCGACTGGCTGGCAACTGGTTCAGGGTGTCCCCCGCCTACTGCCCGAAGACAGCTGGGATAGGCTCGAGCACCACCCCGCGACCCTAGTGAGGATAGAGCGGTTCGGAAGATGAATGAATGAATGAATGGTATACCGGTACTGGAAAAGTTTAAATTCCCAGGTGTATTTTAAGACGCCTGTAACAGCAGTAGTCTGTGCATCTGCAGCCACGGCCCATTTTGTAGCATGTAGTCGGTCTTATGCCTCGCTTGAACTTACACAACTTTTTTTCCTTCACCAATGGCTATGTCAGATTACCTGCCTCTACCCCCATTCACCCGACATCCTGAACCACTCTCCCCCAACAAAAACAAGGAGCCTGGTTTGAGAGTGGCCAATTACAGTGCATCAAGAATGTTGAAAATCTGATCCAGAGGAATTTAGTTTTATGTGTATAAAACAAATTGCCTTTTTCTGGGGAACGTTTCAGTGTGATTTTGCCGGAAGAAAATATGTCCAAAAAACACCTTCAAATTAAATTCACCAATAAACAGGCACGGGCCAAAATTCCCAGCATCACGCAAAAATAGCGCAAAGTGAACACTATTTGCAGAAAGAACAGTGTGGGCAGCAGAATAATTATTTGTATTTTCTTGAATAGATTTGTTAAGGGACATCACGGTGGTTAACCTCACAGTGCTGTGCATTCGATTCCAGGCCCCAGTCTTCCTGTGTGTTGTTTGCATGTTCTGCCCGTGCCTTCGTGGGTTTTCTCCGGGTACTCCAGTTTCCTCCAACATTCCAAAAACATGCATGGCAGGTTAATGTAAGACTCTACATTGTCCCTAGG